GCCATGTACATATACTCGAACATATTCTCAACAGTCCGAAACAACTGGCCATGTACATATACACGAACATATTCCCAACAGTCCGAAACAACTGGCCATGTACATATACACGAACATATTCCTAACAGTCCGAAACACATGCCCATGTACACATACACGAATATATTCCCAACTGTCCGAAACACATGGCCATGTACATATACACGAACATATTCCCAACAGTCCGAAACACATGTCCATGTACATATACTCGAACATATTCCCAACAGTCCGAAACACATGGCCATGTACATATACACGAACATATTCCCAACAGTCCGAAACACATGTCCATGTACATATACTCGAACATATTCCCAACAGTCCGAAACAACTGGCCATGTACATATACACGAACATATTCCCAACAGTCCGAAACAACTGGCCATGTACATATACTCGAACATATTCCCAACAGTCCGAAACACATGGCCATGTACATATACACGAACATATTCCCGAAAGTTGAGTTTTACCTCGTCACTTGATGTCATTTTCTGCCTTTTGTCACTTAATGTTTTTCAACAAATTTTGCAATATTCCAATGGTACTGTTGCTTGAAACGTAGATCACGTTATGATCATGAAATATTCGAATAGTATTTTGGAAAAAATATATAGAAACATTTAAAACGCTACAGAAATTGAAAAGTATTGTATAGGCATAATATATTCGGTCGCAAAGTATTTAACACAAGATACCGGAATTTCTCGACGTATTTCACCCATTCGTGGACACACAACAATCAAAGAAAAATTAAATTTTTACACATTATAACTATGAAAAGGCAAAACCCCTGTTATAAAATAATGTCCCCCACCCGCCCACCAGTTCATTGTAACCCAAATCAAGTATCTGAAATGTCACGAAATACAAGGGATTATTTGTTCAACCTGTGTCACGAAACACAAGGGATTATTTGTACAACCTGTGTCACGAAACACAAGGGATTATTTGTTCAACTTGTGTCACGAAATACAAGGGATTATTTGTACAACCTGTAGTCACGAAACACAAGGGATTATTTGTACAACCTGTGTCACGAAACACAAGGGATTATTTGTACAACCTGTGTCACGAAACACAAGGGATTATTTGTTCAACTTGTGTCACGAAATACAAGGGATTATTTGTTCAACTTGTGTCACGAAATACAAGGGATTATTTTTTCAACTTGTGTTACATACAATGGTCTCCCAAAGTCTTAACTCACTTGCCACTTTGAAGTGAATTACCGGGATTGAATTGCTTCAAAATGTTCACGAACCATAGCTAGACTTGAAAGAATACATTTAGATAATTCGTACACGTGGAGAGACATCGTACGAATGGAGGTTAGCCAACCACAACGGGCTGTTGCAAATTGACTGCAAATGTTTGTAGCACTACGTGGATCTTTTTCTAAGTTAATGGTTGCCATCCACAACACAAAAAAGATGACCACTTTTTGGCGATTCTAGACCGCTTTAGCCATAGGGCAAGATACGTGCTCCGAAATTGAATGAGATGTTCGCAGCAGTAAGTGGGTTTCGTAATAGTACACTGACTATTAAAAACACACTTTACAGGACCGGTCAGAATCCAGTGAGAAGAAACACGTCCACAGAAAGACGCAAAACAAATCATTTATAACGATGTTAAGATCATATATAGTGGACCAACGATTCATGGAGAATATTTTTTTTACTTTTGGGTTGTAACCAGATAACAAGCGTAAGTTCGTTGAACAGAATCTGGAACCAGAACCAACTCTAATTTTCATATAGGAACGTGGCGCATATAGCAGTTGTATAAGCATATATAGGAATATGCACTAACGATGGCACATTCTCGCGGAATGATACCATTAAAGCCGCACACTTGTAAAATTGACCCTCAGTTTTGTACAATGGTGACATTCATTGAAGAGAAGGGGTGTGATTCAATGCAGTGGTCTCCACTCTTAACGGACCTTAATCTAATAGAACATTTATATAGGTTGGTGGGGGCTTTTATAGTTGCGTCGCATCCCATTAAGTGACTCCAGACATTAAAGTTGCCCTGGAAACAGCTCCTTAATAAGAATGATCGAGGGTATTTTTAATTTTAAGCTTTCAAAACCGGTTTCAAGCTGCATTGTTATTAATGAAGAGTTCGGCATCGGTTTCAAGCTGCACTTGTTATTAATCAAACATTCGGCATCGGTTTCAAGCTGCACTTGTTATTAATGAATCATTCGGCACCGGTTTCAAGCTGCACTTGTTAATAATGAAGAGTTTGGCACCGGTTTCAAGCTGCACTTGTTATTAATGGAGTATTCGGCACCGTTTTCAAGCTGCACTTGTTATTAATGGCGTATTCGGCACCGGTTTCAAGCTACACTTGTTATTAGTGGAGTATTCAGCATTAGTTTCAAGCTACACTTGTTATTAGTGGAGTATTCAGCACCGGTTTCAAGCTGCACTTGTTTTTAATGGCGTATTCGGCACCGGTTTCAAGCTGCACTTGTTATTAATGGCGTATTCGGCACCGGTTTCAAGCTACACTTGTTATTAGTGGAGTATTCAGCACCAGTTTCAAGCTACACTTGCTATTAAGGGAGTATTCGGCACCGGTTTCAAGCTGCATTTGTCATTAAGGGAGTATTCGGCACCAGTTTCAAGCTACATTTGTTATTAATGGAGTATTCGGCACCAGTTTCAAGCTACATTTGTTATTAATGGAGTATTCGGCACCGGTTTCATGCTGCACTTGTTATTAATGGAGTATTCGGCACCGGTTTCAAGCTACACTTGTTATTAATGGAGTATTCGGCACCAGTTCCAAGCTACATTTGTTATTAATGGAGTATTCAGCACCGGTTTCAAGCCGCACTTGTTATTAATGGAGTATTCGGCACCGGTTTCAAGCTACACTTGTTATTAATGGAGTATTCAGCACCGGTTTCAAGCTGCACTTGTTATTAATGGAGTATTCAGCACCGGTTTCAAGCTACACTTGTTATTAATGGAGTATTCGGCACCGGTTTCAAGCTACACTTGTTATTCATGATGACCATAGTCCATATTGAAGTTGACTTGTCATAGTAGACACATATTCCACCTATAATTTAATCATTCCGTGTGTATGTATATATTGTTTGTATATCATTATTGTAGTTTTTAGTTGGCTGCAGAATACAATTAGTACGTTCTATTTACGGGTGTGTAGGTACGAATAATGATTTTTTATGTTTCTATTTCCTCAGGATCGCTGTACGACTTTACTGGCAGCTATGATATACCGTTCTTCGTTGCTGGATCTTTACTCACATTTTCTGCCATCTTAACGTTTTCAATACCGCTTGTATCTCGTTGGATGTTGCGTCCCCATATCCAAGAAACAGGACCCGAACATCCCCCTGCCTCACCTGCATCACCCCCGGTTCTCCGAGACAAAGACGTGATGGTCATCGTATAGGCATATAATTATATATATATGGTGATTCAAGCACTATGAAACCTTCATGTTTTATAAGTATCAAGTAACGATCCTCACCTGAACTAACAAGCTAAGCGCTGTAAGGGTGGATTCTTATCATTAGAGGATCGTGTTTTAACTGTATGTTAAAAAAGTATTATTTTTACCGGCATGTTTTTACAAAAGTTGTTTGAGATGCAACTCGTAAGTTAAAGTGGAGGGTTGCAGGCTACTGTTGGTTATTTCCTTTTTTAAATAATGTATGTAAAAAGAAACTCATTATTTTTCTACACACAAAGATGTTGACTGGAAGACACTTTTAACATAAAAGATTTCAAAAGATTTCCTATTGACAGTCGGACTACTTTTCCAAATAACTGACTACGGAAAATTACTCAAGTATCAGAAGACGCAACTAATTAGTATAAACACTGAGAGAAATATTTACAGTACAGTATAAACACTGACACAGAAATAATTACAGTATGGTATAAACATTGACACAGAAATAATTACACTATAGTGTAAACACAGACACAGACATAATTACAGTATGGTATAAACACTGACACAGAAATAATTACAGTATGGTATAAACAGACACAGAAATAATTACAGTACAGTATAAACACTGACAGAAATAATTACAGTACAGTATAAACAGACACAGAAATAATTACAGTATGGTATAAACAGACACAAAAATAATTACAGTATGGTATAAACAGACACAGAAATAATTACAGTACAGTATAAACACTGACACAGAAATAATTACACTATAGTGTAAACAGACACAGAAATAATTACAGTACAGTATAAACAGACAAGAAATAATTACACTATAGTGTAAACAGACACAGAAATAATTACACTATAGTGTAAACAGACACAGAAATAATTACAGTACAGTATAAACAGACACAGAAATAATTACACTATAGTGTAAACAGACACAGAAATAATTACTCTCCTTTTATTTGCTATAATGACAGAGACTGTTCCAGTAATTACTCCCCTTCTATAATTAGTCCCTGTTTTAATAAACACAATTACTGAGGCTGTCGAATAATGCTTTAATCCTTATAAAACGGTTTAATAAATGTTCTTTTATTCAGGTTAAAGTTATTTCAAAAGGGCATCACTGCTCGTGGGAATCCGAGTCAGAAACACACTTCTTTCAAGTCTTTGTGTATTTTGTATAAAGAATCTCTGTTAAATACCTAGTTTATTATTTTGAAAGTAAAGCATATTGTATTTTACTCCGATGGTTGCTGTAATAATTATTTTTCGTTGAGGTTTGTTGTGTCCGTAAGCACATCCGTTATTTGATAGCAATATATATATATATATGTGTGTGTGTATCTGTTTTGTGTAAGATATTTTATGTAGAATCAATAAAGACATATATATGTTACTATTTGTTCTCAATGACACGGATCTCACTGGATATTTTTGTTAATGTTTTTATTTAAATAATATTTGATGCAAGTTCAACAATGATCATCTGATCTGTGTCACACTCGCAACATTATACACATACATTGTTTGTTATCGCCTGTTAGTAACGTAACGACCCACCATTCGGTTGTTTAGGGTAATTAGTTTAAGAACCTATTGATTGTAACAAAGGAGAGTGTGAAGTGACAGGGTTGAATGTTTAATCAGTATTTGAACCTCAGAATGTTGTAGGAGTCGTTTCTTTAAAAGAAGTATGTCTCTGTGAGGTCTGAAGGGTCTATATATAACATTTTGTAGTAAGAACTACGTCACTGTAAAGTGTGAAAATAGTTTAGATCCCCCTCCTGCGGGTCTATATATAACATTTTGTAATAAGAACTACGTCTTTGTAAAGTGTGAAGATAGATTAGATCCCCCCTCCTGCGGGGTCTATATATAACGTTTTGTAGTAAGAACTATGTCACTGTAAAGTGTGAAGATAGATTAGATCCCCCTCTTGCTTGTCTATACACAACATTTTGTAGTAAAAACTATGTCACTGTAAAGTGTGAAGATAGATTAGATCCCCCTCCTGCGGGGTCTATATATAACATTTTGTAGTAAGAACTATGTCACTGTAAAGTGTGAAGATAGTTTAGATGTTTAGATCCCCCTCCTGCGGGTCTATATATAACGTTTTGTAGTAAGAACTATGTCTTTGTATGGTGTGAAGATAGTTTAGATCTCCCCTCCTGCGGGTCTATATATAACGTTTTGTATAAAAAATATGTCTCTGAGTGTTATGCGCATTGACCTGTAATCCGTAGAAATGTCTTTTGAGGTGGGATTTAAATTTCGGACTTCTCACCTCCTTTACATCTTTGAGAGTCACAATGTTTATAGTCACTTATAAGTAGTTCTCATGCCACAGCTCTGTTCGGACACTGGCGTTAGGAGATATTACTATACATTCCAAGATAACGAGCGACTTAGTATTAAAGTTTAATAATCCTTAACTACGTACATTATAAAGCTTGGAGAATTCGTTTGTTGCGTTCAAATCTAAATATTTGTAGTTTCCACTGAAAACCTTCTTCTATGAGTGAAGTATTTGAATCTTCATCAAATACTAGCTTTGAGCCCTTACAAACTGATAATGTGTCAACATCTGTGCCACCCTGAGAAAAGATTTATCAATCTAATGACGTCATAGTAACACTTGGCTTCCAAATGCTTGCCCCGCTCGATCAAAGTGCAGATTATCAAGTTCTTATCGTGAAGGAGTAAACAAGCTGACTAGGTCTTTCTTCCTGTTAAATCTAAGTCAGTATTGAGAACGACGGCAGTTGCTTCGACACACAGAACCATAGCTACATGTTAAAGCTCTTTAAGACACATTTGTCGGTTTTTATTATCATTACTACCTTTGGTTTAAGTTTTGTATTTTTGTCTTAAGATATGTCGATATATGTCTTCATCTAAATATCATATCTATAATAATTTACATTAGTGACGTTACAAGAATTAAGAAACTCAAACATTTCACTTATCAATATCTTTACTTTTTTGTTTTCAGCTGACTTCTCTTTAGGCCTACTAACAACTCTTGGGGTAGTAGTGCTTGCTACACTACTTTTGAGGCCTAGTAACAGCTACGTCGCTAGGATTCAGTCAACACGAAACACAACCAAGCAGTTGTATCACATAAATTGTGTTGTATCATGAGTTGTGGGAAACACGTAGCAGCAAAACAACACACACATTCTCCAACAGATCATGAGATATTTATAATATCCTAAGTTCTAGTTTGTTTGTAAAATTCAAACACCTCAAGTGTGTACTTGCTATCTATAAGCTTCAATATATAGTTTTGATGATAAAGTATGTAACTTCTAGAAGGGAATACAATTATTAAGTTTAATTGCATAAATTCGACGTAATTATAAGCCGTAAAATGTATTCAGTTTTTGTAATAGAGTGATTTTCCTATATTTAGTTTTAATTTTCAATTTTAACGTAGCTTCAATGTTTAATTGTTAAATAATACTTAGTTATGGTTCAGTTCAATACATACTTGGATCACAAAGAGATGGTCTATCATTAAACTCTACGTAAGACATAAGTGAACAATTTTACTATATATATATATATATATAAAAGTGTGATAGTAATTGCAGCACAGAGAAGTAATATAGTCTAAAGTTCACTTCCTATCCACATTCAGTCTTGCTAATGGATAAAGTACGGCTGCGTGTTTTGCTGTCGCTGTTTAAACAGCTGGATCATAAGCCTTGACATCTACTCCAAGATAAGAATGTTTAATCTTCCCGTTGACACCTGATACTTCTAAGTTAACAATGATAAGCATCACAGTTCAATGTGCAAGACGAAGATTAGTGAAAAAGGTATTCTGCGTTTCAAGAGCTACGTCGGCGAAAGTCGTTATTTCTTTTATAAGCGGGTTGAAAGACTTTGAAGTACACGCCACCAGATTGTAATGTAGTTTCAGCACGAAAACTTTCAAGGTTTCACACCTAGCTGAACAAAGACAGTATGAAGTGAAATATGAAGTATGTTTACTCAGTAATATAACTTCTGATCCAAACCGAACTGTCTCTCTACACAGCGGATCCAAACCGAACTGTCTCTCTACACAGCGGATACAAACCGAACTGTCTCTCTACACAGCGGATACAAACCGAACTGTCTCTCTACACAGCGATACAAACCGAACTGTCTCTCTACACAGCAGATCCAAACCGAACTGTCTGGATCTGCTGTGTAGAGAAACCGAACTGTCTCCCTACAAAGCTGATCCAAACCGAACTGACTCCCTACAAAGCTGATCCAAACCGAACTGACTCCCTACACCTACACATGTGAAGTTTATGTGAATAACATTGTTCTCTCTCTCTCTCTGACAAGGCTCGAAACTGTAATACTGTAAAACTTCATTCGTATCTATTAATTGAGATTTTTCCATTTAGAAACTGGGTAGAAATAACAAGTTCCATACCATAATCAGCCGAGAATTACAGAGCATTTGGTAAATATTAGGATTGATATTTAGCTTGATCAAGTTGTTAGCTTTTAGCAGTTCTAATGGGTGAAAAACATATGCTAAGCCTTTAAGAATTAATTGTAAGATACATGTTTTGTTTGTTTCAGAATTTCGATCAAACCTACTTAAACCCACAGCAAGGATATCTGCGCATAGCCTATAGTTTTAGCTGATAGATTAGAGGGAAGGCAGCCAGTCAACAACACCCACCGCCAACTCTACTGTTGTCTGAATGAACAGCGAGATTTGACCATTACTCCGAAGTGAATAAATATCGTAATTCGATGAGTAAAAATCGGACTTCGGAGAGAAACTTGAAACATCTGAATAGTTCAACAAATATTAACTAGATAGCTGTTTCGTTTTGAAGAGTATAAAGATCATTCTAAGAATGTTTAGCTCTAGTAGAGAGTCTCAATGAGAGAACATACATCGTGAGAGACATACACATAAACTTAGTTTGATGGTGATAAATAAAGAGTATGCGCGTAGAGTGAAAACAAATGTTCGTATAGCTTATTGAGGGAAGGTGGTAGAAGATATAGAGGAACATAAAAGGAACTAAGAGTGAACACTAAATGCAGAAAATGTGTGAAAGGTATGAGAATAGTTTTCAAAGGGAAGGATTATGAATGCCGAAGTGCCAAGATTCATTAAGAATATGAAGGCTGAAAAGCACAGAAACAATTACTGAAAGTTTTGTAAATATTTACTCTTGTTGATATAATGTGTATATGATAGAGATAAACCGTGTTTCTGATTATTTAGTTGATATAATGTGTATATGATAAAGAGATAAACAGTGTTTGAGTCTGTGGAGAAAATGTCTGTTCTTTGACATTTCAGGCTGGAATGAAAAGAAAATATATAAAAATTAGGATATCTATGTTAATGCAGGTATCTCAAGAATAGGTGAAAATTTGATTTTCTTATTCTCTCAATATTTTTTGGAAGGATTTCTTATTACCAAGATTGTCTTTTGGTGGAAAAGGAAGTCATGGGTTCAGTATATGTCATGGGTTCGGTATATGCCATGGATTCGGTATATGCTTTGATTCGCCACATGCCATGGGTTCGGTATATGCTTTGATTCGCCACATGCCACTGATTATAAAGATAATGCCCCAGTAACCCTTAATAAGGAGAAAACGAAGGACATTTGTAATTTGCTGTCTATACTTAAGATTTATACCCTATTCTTGTAGTAAAAGTTTAATATTCAGTCTTCATACCCTCTTCATACAGTAAATATTTACTTTTCAGACTTCATAACTTTTTCATGCAATAAATGTTTACTCTTCAGACTTCATACCCTCTTCATGCAGTAA